GGGCACCGTGCACAGAGCGGCCTGGCCGGCTGTGAGCACCTGCTGGCTGTCGTGTGCAGAGCGCCCTGGCTGTGAGCAGTTGCTGCGGCGCAGAGCAGCCTGGCTGGCTGTGATCTGCACTCAGCCACATGCTCCGAGCTGCCAGCACATTATTCCTTTATAAAAATGTACTGGCGGGCTGCAAAAAAATTAGATCAGGCCGCATGCGGCCCGTCAACCGCCAGTTTGACATGCCTGATGTAGAGGCATCTGAGGAAATTCCACACTGATTTCCAAGCTCAGGGAGATCCTGTATACATCAGATACTACGTCCATTTAATACATATGAATCACACTGTAGCAACACCTTGGGCATGTTAATCTGTTGGCCGAAACCACAAACTACAGACTAAACTGTTTCAATTGCACAGTTAATACTGATATTAACAACTCAGAGGCAATGGATTACAGCATTTACCTCACATTTACATTCCTTTACATTTCAGGCCCCCCACAGACAGGGACTGCTGCTGCCCCACACTGCTGCCCTCTGTATCAGAGTGGCACGCAGCAGATCGTCTGTGCGGGGAGGTGGTTTTTACAGGAGTTTCCCTCGCAGACCAGCTCCCACTTTCCACCCTGCACTGCTACCTCTGATAGAGAGGCAGCACCACAGGGTAGCAGGGGGGCTCCCCGGAAGTGGGGTTGGGAGCACACTGGCTGCCGGACCCACCCCCCAGGGACTATCAAATAGTCATGCAGCCACTAAAATTTGATGCAGTTACATGACGATTCAATTATATGCTAACATCCCTAAACTGCAGACATCGGTCTGGAGTGCTAGGACCATGTTTGTCAACAAGAAAGCTGGCCAGGGACCTTTGTTCATGAGACAAGCTGTGGTTTTGTTGGGCAGTTCGATGGAGGTCTACTGGATCCTCAAGCTACACCGAGCTGGGATACAGGAAACACAGCTGTACACACGCACACAGCCAACAAGTGACAACAATAGGCAGCTTGCTCTACCATAAGTGGGTAAAGCCCACTTGGAACATTTTGCCCAGTGTCAGCTTTAAGAATCACAGCAGCCAATAGCATGTCCTTCCTGGTAACTTCTTCAGAAAGATGCCTTCCCCGTCATTGCTTGGCTGTGTTCTCCTGAGATGGCAGGCCACCTCCTCCAGCACCCCTCTGTCATACAGGCCACTTGTTGGGGCCTTTGAAAGAGAAAAGCCAAGGAAGAATAGGGCCAGTACCCAGATGGTGACAAATAAATGGCCATGAAGGGGCACATGCGGAGAGGTGACCGGCAGCTGCATTTTCCATAGATGGCAATTGGAACTGATGAGTTACTAAGTACCACACTTCAATCCAGCGCCCATTAACATCAGTGGCAAAACTGCTGTTTGCTGCCAAACATTCAGATTTTTACAGTGGTGAGCTTAGGAAGGTGTCTACCCCAGCTGGCATAGCTCAGCATATGTTGATGCAATTCACAGATTCCTCGACACCATGTGAAATATTATCTTTCCAAAAAGTCAGAACAAAATTTCCTTATTACTCTCCCAGTGAGGACATGGAAAACCCAAAGACCTCCAAACCAGGCACAGACAGGCAATCGCAAACCTGCTACTACTACCCACCAGAACATTTAGCTGGTGTGCATCATCACGGCATTCAATCACTTCAACAGCTTTGATAGCTCTGCTTTTAGCTTCCCCCTTCCCAGGTGGAGCTCTGTTTCATTCCTTTGTTCATAATGCTATTCCTAAGGGCCCCTAAGTCAGGGGACTAAAGTCAGAGTACCTTACTCACTGGTCCCATAAAGAACGGTTACTTACCTCGTAACTGAAACAAAATGCAGGACTATGTAGCACTTTAAAGACTAACAAGATGGTTTATTAGATGATGAGCTTTCAAGGAAGTGGGTCTGGCCCACGAAAGCTCATCATCTAATAGACCATCTTGTTAGTCTTTAAAGTGCTACATAGTCCTGCATTTTGTTTCAGCTACACCAGACTAACACGACTACATCTCTATCACTATTTTACCTCGTAACTGTGATTCTTCAAGATGTGTTGCTCATGTCCATTCCAATTAAGCATGTGCGTGCAGCATGTACATGCCGTTGGAAGTTTTTCCCTCAGCAGTACACTTAGGGCCAGTGGGGAGTCCCCTGGAGTGGCGTCGGAATATCGGCCCATATATACCCTTGCTGGACCCCTCACCCACTCAGTTCCTTCTTACCTGAATACTCTGGAGAGAGGCTGGTGGGCAGGGATTTGGAATGGACATGTACAACACATCTCAACGAATCACAGTTACAAGGTAAATAACCGTTCTTTCTTCGTGGAGTGATTGCTCAGGTGCATTCCAATTAGATGACTCCAAAGCAGAACCTATGGAGGAGGGCTGGATGTTGAAGCTACAGAGGAGTGGAGAACCTCCCTGCCCAGGGCAGTTTCTTCCCTGGCTTGATGTGTTAGTGCATAGTGATTGGCGAAGGTAAGGACAGAGGACCATGTCGCAGCTCTTCAGATGTCCAGGATGGGAACCTGCGCCATGAAAGCGGTGGAGGCTGCCACAGCTCCATGGAGTGCACTCTAAGGGGTGGAGCTGGTACCCCCACTAGGGCATAGCACTCCTTGATACAAGCAGTTATCCAGGAGGAGATCCACTGGGAGGACATGGGTTGACCCCTCGCCCATTTGGCGATGGCCACAAAGAGTTGCGGTGACTTCCTAAATGGTTTTGTCCTAAGTAAAATAATGGCCTGCACTCATCTGGAGTGTGTAAAGCCTGTTCTTTCCCAGACGCGTGCGGCTTGAGGTAGAAGACTACCAGGAAAATATTCTGGGAGGTGTGGAAAGAAGACACCATCTTGGGCAGAAAAGCTGTGGGGGGGGGGGCCGACCTTGCCTCTCTCTTTGGTTCACAGCTTGTATCATGAGAGAGCCCGGTGAAGGGTGGGAAAAAAGATGCTCTTTACCCTCTTGGGGGACAAAGTATCTCTTTTCAGCCCACTTATCTGTAGGGGGGATGGACGCAGGAGTCTGCCACAAGGCTTTGGAGATCTGGGTCACCGTTTTGTTAATTGGGAGGGCCACTCTAGAGGGGGTGTCCACATGGAGGATGTCCACTGTGGGATTGGAGTAATCAGACACCCTATCTGTCTGGACTCCCAAACTTTGGGCCAGACGGTGGAGGAGGTCGTGGTGGACCCTGGCATCCATAGAGGTCATGGATGGTCCAGGGTCTCCCAGAGTCTCGTCAGGGGATAAGGACAATGATACCTTTCGGATTTCTCCGACAGATATCCCTGAAAGTGCCGGATCCTGTGGTGTGCCAGCAGATGGGGGGTTGGCTCACCAGAGCCACACTCCCCAATGGACCTGGTGACTGCTGGCAGGGGGGCAACGACTGGTCAGAGGTTGGCGATCTGACCAGTGGGGTTTCCGAAGGAGGGGCCTGAGGACCGGATGAGACCAAAGCCGACCTGGAAGGGGGGTTTCCCTGAGCTTGGTGATATGCCCAAGGAGTCCAGAATGGCCACTGGGCCAGAGGTTGAGGAGGCCACGATTACTGGAGCACTGGTACCGGGGCTGGTTGTGTCCATTGCTGCTGGTACGGACAAGGTGGACTATGGTGCCGCGAACAGGAGCAGTGCCATGAGCGAGAGCAGTGTTGTGACTGGGACCAGGAGCCCCAAGAAGATAGCTGGATTCCACCTCGGAGTCAAAAATGTACTCCGAGGCGGACTAGGGAGGAGCCGACACAGACACCTGCAGAACAGCTGCGTGCCTGGCCATAGATTCTGGCTTCCCATGAGGCCGAGGCGGAGGTGGTGGTATGGTGGTACGGATGTCTGGTGCAGAGGTAGGTACCGGAACGGTGTGAGCCAGTGTCGGAGCATGGTACCGCAGTGTAGCTGGTGCCACATCCTGATGAGGCACCATGGGTAGGGGGTGCGTCGCTGGTCGGTGCGGTGTCGGTGGAGCTGGGAGGCAGGGGCATGGAACCGGACCTCCGGTGCTGTGGGCTTGGATTATTTTGCCTGCTGGTGGGGTGTCTGGAGGGTGCTGGAGTGGGGGGCGGTGAGGGAGAAGAGTCTATAAGCACCCTTGCTGCTTCTAAGGCCTCCAGTGTGAAGGGCTCAGGGAAGACCTCCAATGGGCTCGGGTCCATATGCTGGGAGGAAGATCCGCCCGACCTGGAAGGTCTGGGCTCCGGACTTGCCGGCGCTGCATGCCCCACTGGAGGGTGCATAGTGGGCGCATCTAGTAGGCGACCATCCCCTATTAGGCCTCCTCTTCTTCTGCAGTGCCAGAGACTGAGACCGGTGTCGAGGTCTCTGTGGTGCCAGTGAGGCACGGTAGAGGGGGGAGTCCCGCACTGAGGTACTGGCTGGAGAGCTGCCTCCATTAGACGCGACTCTCTCTTGTGTTTCATGTGGGGCTTAAACACCTTGCAGATTCTGCAGGCTTCTGTGAGCTGCATCTCCTCCAAGCACTTTAAACACGAGGAATGAGGGTTGCCCCGGGTCACAGTCTTGTGGCACTTTTTGCAGGACTCAAAGCCTTGAGAGCCGGGCATGCCGTGGCGCGCTGTGGTGGGGAACAGCAAAAAAACAACAAAAGTGTCTTTAACTTAACTGCAGGTACTTAAGCTAACTGAAGAAACAAAGAACAATGCTGAAAACAGCTATCGCTAGACTAGCTGAGGGTTATTCCAATGACCGTCACAGCGGTAAGAAGGAACTGAGTGGGTGAGGGGGCCAGCAGAGGTATATATGTGCCGATACACTGGAGGGGGCTCCCCACTAGCCCTAAGGGTACTGCTGAGGGAAAAACTTCCGACGACGCGTGTACGCACGCACGCACGCACACACCTAATTGGAATGCACATGAGCAATCACTCGAAGAAGAACAATCATTTCGTGTTTTCAGCAGTGCAAAGGGTGGCTCTTTATGACATTTCCGTGGAATGAGCAAGTGCGTAGCCTTGTACTTTATGAAAGAAAGTAGTCTAGGTTAGCACAAGTGATTCATAGGGAGTTTCTCAATCTCTGCCTTTGTATTTCACAATACTTAAGGCAACAGGCACCCCTCAAGAAATATCAGGAAATGAGTTTTCCTGATATTTTTTCCCCCACATACTAATCTGTAATTTCCTTGGACTATGACAAGCCACAATGCCTGAAATAAAGCATTCTTCTACGGAAAGAGAGGCTTTGAAGTTCAGAGCCTGCTGTTTTCTTTTTAATTCTCCGAGCAATGAACCCTCACTCAACCAGGAACCTGTCCCTACCTACAGGCACTCAACGGACCAGTTATTCATGTTAAAAGCATCAGGTTTTTTGTGAGGCGCATCTGGTTTAGAAAGTGGTGCTGTGTTTTTTAACTGAGTCTCTCTGAACACATGCAACAGGAAGTATGAACTCATTCGTTATCAGAACTGAGACATATGGAAATATCAACACATCTCTAACTACTTTTTTTTTTTACTTTAACTTTACTAGAGCAAGGACTAGCATGAGCTTCATAATAAAAATACAGTGTAAATGTTAAAATAGCAACATGAATTGCAATAAATTTTGTGTTGCTTTACAGGAAATTTCTATTGGGAAAACACAAACAAAACCCACATCTGGAAGTCCCAGCTGTAACCAGAGACTGAAACTCCTAACTCAAAGGTAGCCCTTAGGGGACAGGGTTTAGGACACAGGGGCAGCGTATTCCAACTGAGATATGCCTATCCCTCTATTTCACCACATATACTTAACTTTACACGCACAGAAAAATTAGTCCATGGGGCTGCTTGAGGAGTGAAATATCACTCACATGAGGAAGGGAGACGGGAGTGACCGCAGAATAGTTTGGTAGTTAGTGCATAAACGGATGGCTACAGAGTGGCCTCTAGTGGTAGATGTGCACAGAGAGAAAAATCACATTTCCATGTACAGTAGCACAGGAGACCAGCAGGGATGAGAAGTAAGATACTGTGGGGGGTCAAATTAAACTCAATCTGCAGGTAGAGAGATGGCTGTGTCGGCATGCGTGAGTTTTGCAATGTGATGCTGCATGGTACAAGTGGGACCCAAGCAGCCAGGCATATGACTTGGGTGCGCTGAACCAATGTGACTTCCAGGATGAGCTCCTAAGCATCCCTGCTGTGCATTTAAATTGCTTCCTGCTCCATGGCACCATCATCTCTCCCCACAGCAAGTCAAGCCCTGCCCCACTGTGCTAGGTAGTCCTCACAGGTTCAAGGAGATAGAAACTTCCCCTACCTGCGGAGGCTGAGTCTACATGTTATTTCTCTGCTGCTCTTTTCACAACGGCTGTGCCTGGATTTATGCAGCTAGGTTCATCTAGGGAGGAGACTGCAGCACTTTTCCATTTCTAGCCTGAGAACAATCACAAGTAACATTGTTTTCAGAGCAACCCTATGCCAACCCTCCCTGATCAAAACCTCCACCACAGTAACCATGTCCAACAAGGCATTTGCCAGCCCTCTTTCCTATTGATCCTATTTGCCAAGTTCATCCCTGCTGTAACCCCAGAAATGTACCTAATTGGTGAGGCAACTTGAGCCATCAACAGTGGTAAAATGTGCTAGAAACTGACACGCCCCCTGCATTCCCCAGGGCAAGCTTCCCTTCCACTACCTTGCCAGCTCAATTCAACCCTGAGCATCTCACGCTACAATGTATTTGTTGGCCTCTAAGGTGCCACGGGACTGCTCTGAGTTTTTAAAATTACAGACTAACAAATATACCCCTCTGAGACTTCACTGAATTAAGTTAATCCTTATTGAATTAGGGTTAACACCCTGAGGTCCATTGTGTTAAAATACAATGCCAAACAATTGTATCCACCTTTTCTAGAAGGAGGGGGATGCTAATCTGTTATCAGTCTTTGAAGCCAGCCCCCTGCAAAGGTGCATAGACCATTCAAATTGGAGTCTCTAGGGACAGACAAAGAAAGGATTTTTGGATAGTGCTTTTTTTTTTAAACAGCCTCAGGTATTTCTTCCTGATCCAGCAAAAGGACAGGATGCCTTGTATATGGAGGGCCCCCATCCTTTGCAAAGGGTTGGAAGGATCAGGTATTTATTCTGAGCTCAAGCTATGATCAATAACTAATGAGAAGCAATCCCCCTCTGCTTAGACATGAAGGACTGTGCCTGCCAGATGTGTTGGCACATCCAAAAAGCATTCAAGAGATCTAACTGAGGTAGAGGCAAATTGTGATTCACTGCCAAAGAGCCTCAGATTTTAAGTGAGTTCTGTCCAATCCTGACTACCAAGATGCCTAGAAATCATTATCATGTTGTGTACTGAGTGAACAGCAGGGATGACACAAATACAATAGCAAAGAGGTGCCATGTGGCCTGTTGAATTAACGTGTTACACAGTGCAAGGTGCACTATCTGAAGCGGACTTTTCTTATAAGCCGTGGTTCTGTAGAAGTCACACCCTGACTAATTGCAGCGTGATTTCATTCCTCTCCCCTGCCAAACATACATCCTCGGGTTTTATTGCCTGTCATAATCAGGAGTCCTGACCAGGGGGTTAACTATGTCTCCTGTACCTAGCCAGGTATTCGGTGGTCAGCCAATAACAATGTTGGTAGGAATTTCAAACTGGAAAAGGGGAGTCCTGACCAGGGGGTTAACTATGTCTCCTGTACCTAGCCAGGTATTCGGTGGTCAGCCAATAACAATGTTGGTAGGAATTTCAAACTGGAAAAGGGGAGTTTTTCTCTGTTTCTTTGTTTGAGATTTAGAGCAGTTTCTACCAAGACTGAGGGAGATGGGAGTCACTTCTCTCTCCAAGAACGGACTTCTTGCAATGTGTAAGTAGGGTAAAGTTTAGAAAGTCCATCAGGATTTGTTATTTTCTGTGTTTGGGGTTTGGAAAAAAGGTCTGAGTTGTTAATTGTAGTTTTTCTCTTTTGTAACTAAAGCTGTTAGCCAGGGGGTCCAGATCAATTGGTAGCTCTTTTCATCTAGCCACTTTACTATGCTTGCAACTTTAGTTTTCTTTTGATAATAAAAGTTGGTTTCTTTTTCCTAATTAACAGGAATTGGTTGATTGTTGTATCCTCTGACTGCAAGCCTCTTTTGAAAAAGAGCGTCTAGACTACAACCAGTACTTTGGAAAAAAGCAAGCCCCTTTTTCAAAAGAGATCACCCAGGCAGTCTGGATGCTCTCTTTCAAAAAAGCAGAGTTTGCATTACATAGCACCTTTTTTCAAAAGAGCCCTTTTGGAAAAAGGTGTTCTTCCTGGTAAAACAAAGTTTTCCGCGGTCGAAAAAACTGCCGCGTTTTTTCGATTTACTTTCAAAAGAACACGGCAGCAGTCTAGACGCAGGAGAAGTTTTTTAGAAAAAAGGCCACTTTTTTGGAAAAAACAAACAAGCCCTGTAGTATAGACACACCCTCAGTGCCTAGTTATAAGTGCAGAGTCCATTGTTGTCTGTGAATCCCCTCTGGTTCTCTCAACTGCAAGTAAAACAGAGGTTGGGGCAGGGGAGAGTTTTACCTTAGGGAGGAGGTTTCCCAAGTGATCTCTTATCTGGTTTTCGTAGAACTACTTGGATGGTGGCAGCTGATTTCCCAAAATCTGGGTACTAGGATTGGGGGGGGGAAAGGAGTTTTTTGTATCAGAGGCTGGAGAAGCAAGGTTTTGGAGTGCTCCTGGGGGCCCCTACTTCTGCATTTGTCATGCCAGAGTGGGGAACAGCCTTGACACTGCCATTTGGATTAAAAAAAAAAAAAGAACAAACTCTCTCCTCTGTAACACCAGCTAGACTGCGCCATTTCCAGATGTGAACTCTTCTTAAAGCCATTAAATTAATTTACCTTGGCAACCTGGAACCTCCTCGTCCCAACCACTTGCACCTTCCTCAAGCATACATTGGGCCGAAGTTGATCCCAAGTTTTTCCCTAAAGGAAGAACAGGTTCAAGTTTGTTAATCAAGTGAGCAAAGAACTGGTTAACTGCCCAGAAAGAAGGAACAAGGCTTCTGTCAGCCACTAGGTGGAGACAGTTGACTGACTAGAATCGGAGCCTGGCAAACTATGGCAGGACGATAACGGCATAGGTGGTGGTGAGTAAACACTGATTCATTTCCCCAAAATCTCAGTCTCTCATGGATGAAACAGGCTCTTAACTCAGAAGAACCAGGGTGTATAAAAGGCTGGCAGAGGAAGGCTTTGGAAGTGGAAGCTGACTCCCATATAATAACTTTGCAACCTCTTGAGGGGTCATGAGCAGGGGCGACATGTAAGGGGGCAAGGAAGAAGGTGACACCCCTTGTAAACACCACGAGTGGGAGAAACAGGAGCCAGAGCCTCCGGGCAGCCGGGGGAGGGACTGGTGAGGGCCTGGCATCCACAGCAGGGATTGCGGCTGCAACAGGCACAAGCAGCAATGGGGCCTAGAGAAGGGAAGTGGAGCAATGCAACCCTAGCCTGCTCCCCCAGCTGCCACCTGCATTGTTCACCCTCCCCTGCCCTGGCTCCACACCCACCAGTGGGAAGCGGAGTGACATGGCCGGCATTTGGGGGAACAACCCCTGCTGCCTATGCCATCCTCTCCTATAATCCCCCTAACAATGCTCCTTGGGCGGTCTGGGGAGCAGGAAGAGGCAGGGCGGGGGAGGGAGAGGCATGAAGAAGGGGAAGGGATCGGTGAGGCCTGGGGCAGGCAGACATTGACCCAGCCATCGCCTGGACTAGGAGTGTTGCGGTTGGGAGTCACGCAAGGGTCTGGTCATGTGGCCAGTGGCCCCCCACATCCCTCCTTACCGCTGGTCATGACCCCCAGTTTGAGAAACCCTGGGCTACATCCCCAAAATCATTCTCCGGTCTTTAATCGGGGATCAGTCATTGACTGTGGGGGAGGAGGCGGTTACAGAAGGACTAAGTAAAAAGCAAAGACTGGAAGCTCTTGGCACAGAATATAAATGCTCTCATGGAGAATGTGATATTTTAGGTCAGCTACATAGGTCGAGGTGGGCAATAATTTTAGATGGGGGGCATTTTACTAATTTTTGAAGTGTCTCTGAGCCACCCCAAAAGGGGCGGGGCTAGGACTCTTGTGCTCCCCCACCCACAGACTGATTGGGCTAGAGGGGTGGGGGAGCACTTTGCCCCGCCCCCCCTACCTCCAGGTCAATCAGATCCTGGGGGTTGGAGGAGCAGGGGAAGTATCTTGCTTCCTGCCCCCACCCAGCAAGGGGCACGTGGTACTTTCACTCTAAGCGCCATGCACCCCTGGCAGGGTGGGAAGAGACTTTGCACACTCCCCCTTCTCCGGGCCCTGGTTGGCCTCAGGACTGGGGAGTGGCAGGGCATCTATAGACTGGATCCAGCCTGCAGAGGCCCCTTTGTCCACCCCTGACATAGGTATTAGCTGCTTGTTTTCGAGGCATCATCTCTGTGCTGCCAGAGACATGAGCCTTTGTAGCACTTTGAAGTGCTGTGTGCTCCTCGCAGGGTGGCCAGGGGAGGCCAGAGGAAACTTCACACGCTCCTCCTCCCCCAGGCCAATCAGGACTTGGGGGCAGTAGAGCATGTGACGTTTTCTCCTGCCCTGTGAGCAGCGCATGGAGCTTCAAAGCGCTGCATGCTTCAAAGGGCTGAAGGAAGCTTTGTGTGCTCCTCTGCCCCCAGGCCTTAATTGGCATGGGAGCAATAGGGCTTCCGCAGGCCATATCAACCTCTGCTGGCATCTAGTACTCCTGCTCCTGTTGGATTCCCGCTGGAGGATGTGGCCAAGCTCAACTTGAGCTATACTAACTCCAACTACGTATTCTATGTAGCTGGAGTTGCCTACCTTAAGCCTAACTGCTGAGTCTAGTGTAGAACTAGCCTTAGACCTGGAGACCTGCGCTTTGGAGGAGTGGCACTTGCATATTTCAAAAGCCATCAGCTGAGAGGGAGATACTAGGACCATCATGGCCTTAGGTTATTCACCATTGGGGCAGTTGGCAAGGCTCTTCTTCCCTAAGTAGAAGTAGTTTGGGGTCTGTGTTCAGAGTTCCAGCCTTCCTAAGCTTTGTTTTTGTCAATTTAAAGGAAAGAAACACCCGGAAGCAGAAAAGGACTAAACTGAGTCCACTTTTGACACATTCCGGAACTCCCTCTCCCCCGCCCCAAATAAAAATATCGCTACATAAGAGGAAAGAAGAGAACTTCCTTCTGCGCTGTAAGCAGCTATCATTTAGATGAGGGAAGATCTCAGCATCACTTTAAACAGTTAATGAGAGTTTCTTTTAACACATATGGGAAAAAAACCAGGATGCTCGAGTCTTTATTCACTTTTATTTAAGAGAAAAACTTATACTAAGGAAAACATTGTAAATACCACAAATATCTTCAATGATAGTTTCTTCATTCATGGAAAGATTTGTTCTATTGCTAAATACAACTCAATGCAACTCAATGCAACTTGCAATCATAAAAATATGTCAATATTTAAAATCTTTATCATTTATCTTAGAAGATTTAAAGTGCTTGATTATAAACATCCTCTCTCGGCAGCAAATAATAGGATTTCCTGAATATTAAAAAAATATATTTTAAGCTCTACAAAGATAGGTTTTTCACAACAAACATATAAAAATAATGTAGGCACTAAAGCATTAAAGAACTTAACTGGAATATACTTTTAATCTTACCGCTTACTTCTTATAAAAAAGTGAGAGTGGATTGCAATGAAACTAATATAATTTGTTATTCGCACTGAGGGTACGCTTACACTGCACTACCTTGCATCTACACAAGCCACCCTTATTTTAAAATATTTTTCGAAATAATGGGGGTGCTCTTTTGCCATCGTGGTAAATATCATTGCCCGAGAGATAAGGGATGGCTCGTAATAGCATGTAATTTTGAAATATGGCACCGTGCAGACACACCAAATTAAAAAATAAACTATTTGAAAACAGATTCAAAGTAAGATATGCAATTTGCATAGCACAAATTACGTATCTTATTTCGAGTTTAGGGTCCAGTGTAAATACACCCTGAGAGAATTTTTAGTGAGTATTCAGAGCATCTTTGTAATGGCATGTAAATTCATATTATCCTTAATTTTCTCAAAGGTGAAACACACCAGAAGAATCTACAACATTCCACAAAGTGTCTGGCATTTTGAAATCCTGTTTAAAGAATAATATGCATTCCATCATCTGCAGTTAAAGCCAAAACTCACAACCAAACCATGCCGTGCTCTAATGATGACTATGTTCATTAAGGAGAAAGATTTAGTGCTATGGAGAGGCTGAATAAGGGACAAGCTGTACATTCAGAACAGCAAATTATTTTGACGCTCCTAACTGTCTTCGGAAGCCAATTTTCAAAGGCAAGAGCAATGTTCTGCCTCTTTTCTTTCTGCTTTCCTCAAATGCAGTGGATTCCTACTAAAATGCTAGCTCGGCAGAGGAAAAAGGTTATAGTCAAAGTAACACCAGTTGCCTGGGAGGGTCTAGTTTCCCCACAGGAATTTCAGTACCAACGTTTGCAATATATTTCCTAACATTTCCATTACTTTCTTCCAGTGTCAGTTAATTTGTAAAAGATAGACATCATCCAACACGTGTCATTTATCCTGCAAAAGGAAGATAAACAGTAAAAAATCAAAATAGTTCTATACTTCAGCCTTCCACACATCTTTCTTTAGACATCAAAGTACTTGTTTAGACTACTAAACTTTTCAGTATAGTAACAAATACTAGTTTTTATTATTGTAACTGCATAGAATAGAAACATTTTAAACTTATTTTAGGTTAAAGTAGAGATTGTGGAATTTTTCCTTAGTGCCAAAATGTTAGGCCTGGTCTACACTGAGAGGTTAGGTAGAGCTTAGCCACATTAGGTCGATTTTGAGTCCACATCACCAAGCCCGTTCTATTGAGCCCATGCTAAGGGACACTAAAGTTACTTTAAATGCTCAAAACCACATTCAGTCACCATTCTGCATGTGCTCAGCCTGTGGTTGAATTGCTGCTTACTGTGGTCCAGGCTGCCTGTGCACAGCTTTATGAGTCACAGGAACAAGGGTCGGTTGGAATTTATAAAGGTGTGAGAGTCACACACCTTTTCCGACCATTGCACGTTGATGTCCGTGAAATGGCCCTTGGGACGCATCTGCACCTGCAGCACCATTGAGAAGTACTCCTTGTGGTTCATACCTATTGGGCAAGGTGGCAGGGGTCCAAGATGGGAATGTGCATTCCATCTAGTGCCCCACCAGCTAGGGAACTCCATTGCAGCAAAGCCTTCCTCTATGTCCTCCATGTTTCCCAGAGTCACTATCCTCCATAGCAGAAGGATATTGATTGCCTTGGCTACTTGTATCATGACAGTCCCCACTGTTGATTTCCCCAATCCGAATGGACTCCCAGCTGATTAGTAGTTGTCTGGCCAACTTCCACAACAGGGCTATTGCCACTCACTTCTCAACTTTCAGAGTGGGTCTCATTCTGGTATTTATGCACTCAGGGCAGGGAAAGCCATTCACAAAGTTCCACAAAAGTGGCCTTGTGCATATGGAAGTTCTTCAGCCACTGCCAATCATCCCACACCTGCGTCACAATTTGGTCCCACCAGTGTGTGCTTGTCTCATGGCACCACTGTGTCTAGAGGATCAAATACATTTGCCATTCCTTCAACTCTAATGCTTTGCACAAGAGTATGTTAATAGTCTCCTGAGATTTGTCCTCAATCCAGTGGACCCTGAATATGCTGTGGATATACTACAGCATTAGGTGCATCATGGTTATGATCATTATCATAATGCTTTGATGCTCAACGGAATTCACGATGAGTTCCATGCTTATGCTACTATAGTGTCAGCATGATAACCAAGGGAAAAAAGGACAAGAAAAGACTGTTTGCCATTGCTTTCAAGCAGGGAGGGGGGAAAGAGGAAAGGAGTGCATTATGGGATGCTGACAATATGTACCCACAACCACATATTGCACAGTTTTGGTGTGCACTGGGAATATAACCCAGAATGCAAAGGGGTGCAGACACTGTGGGATAGTTGCCCACAGTGCATCGCTCTCAAAATAAACAGTAGTCACTCCACTGGGGATGCCTTACTTCAGACTGAATTGAATTCTTTTGCTCAGTGGGGATATGGACATTCAACTTTACAATATTGTTTGCTAAAAATTTGACTTTAATAACTTTGGTTTCTCTCAGTGTACACGTGGCCTCTGAAAAAAGCAGGTTAGAATATGCATTATGGATATTGGAGGGCAAGGGCTGATTTGTCAGCAGAGGTAGTAATTGCAGGAATGAACGACAGAAAAAGTGACTGATGACAAGTGTTTAATTACATAAGCTAAATAATGGAGAAATACTTAAAAAACAACAAATAGTCTGGCAGCACCTTAAAGACTAACAAAACATGTAGATGGTATCATGAGCTTTTGTGGATACAACCCACTTCTTCAACTGGGTTTTACCCTTGAAAGCTCATGATATCATCTACGTTTTGTTAGTCTTTAAGATGCTGCCAGACTATTAGTTGTTTTTTAAGTTTTTCCCAGCGCCACAACAGGGGGCTCCCCACTAGCCCTAAGGGTACTGCTGAGGGAAAAACTTCCGACGACGCGTGTACGCACGCACGCACGCACACACCTAATTGGAATGCACATGAGCAATCACTCGAAGAAGAACAATCATTTCGTGTTTTCAGCAGTGCAAAGGGTGGCTCTTTATGACATTTCCGTGGAATGAGCAAGTGCGTAGCCTTGTACTTTATGAAAGAAAGTAGTCTAGGTTAGCACAAGTGATTCATAGGGAGTTTCTCAATCTCTGCCTTTGTATTTCACAATACTTAAGGCAACAGGCACCCCTCAAGAAATATCAGGAAATGAGTTTTCCTGATATTTTTTCCCCCACATACTAATCTGTAATTTCCTTGGACTATGACAAGCCACAATGCCTGAAATAAAGCATTCTTCTACGGAAAGAGAGGCTTTGAAGTTCAGAGCCTGCTGTTTTCTTTTTAATTCTCCGAGCAATGAACCCTCACTCAACCAGGAACCTGTCCCTACCTACAGGCACTCAACGGACCAGTTATTCATGTTAAA